TCAGGACCAGACTTCAAACAGAAACTGCTGAGCTTCAGTTCATCTGCAAATTTGACACCATCAGCTCAGGATTAAACAAAGACTGTGAATGGCTGGCCAACTACAAAAGCAGTTTCTCCTCCCTTGGTGTTCACACCTCAACTGCTAGCAGAGGACCTCTCCCTCCCTGATTGAACTAACCTCGTTATCTCTAGCCTGACTCACTCTTGCTTGCATATTTATACCTGCCTCTGGAAATTTCCACTAAATGCATCCGAAGAAGTGGGTATTCACCCATGAAAGCTCATGCTCCAATACGTCTGTTAGTCTATAAGGTGCCACAGGACTCTTTGCTGCTTTTATTGTCTACAGAACCTCTCTTCCCCCAAGGGGCAGGAAATGCGATGTTTAAATGAAATCTTCAGACTGTCCGTGACTAGGAAACAGGGGCGGCTCTAGTTTTTTGGCCACCCCAAGCATGGCAGTCAGGCAGCCTTCGACGGCATGCCTGCGGGAGGTCCACCGGTCCCGCGGCTTTGGGGTACCCGCCGCCGAATTGCCGCTGAATCCGGGGGACCGACAGACCTCCTGCAGGCATGCCGCCGAAGACTGCCTGACTGCCGTCCTCATGGCAACCGGCAGGGCGCCCCCCGCGGCTTGCCGCCCCAGGCACGCGCTTGGAGCGCTGGTGCCTGGAGCCGCCGCTGCTAGGGAAGAGTCTCTCAATGACATTGGGATAGACCTTCTCTGTCCCTCTAACTCCAAAGAACCAGCCAGAAGATGACAAAGAAGGCTATGCCCTGTTTGCCTCTGCATGTGGATCGTTGTGCTCCAGGAGTTCATCAGGTTTTGGAGAGAGGTGAAAGTCAGAAAGAGCTCACTGTGTGACCCAGAGAGCTCTAGGCTCCGGGATCAAAGCTTCTCGATCCCGCAAAGAAGTCATTCATATGTGTATAACAGAACTATACTATTGGTGTATATATCAGACACCTTTAATTTCACATCCTTTAGGAGTGACAGCCAAAAAAGACAAATGTGAAAGATTAAAAGCTGTATATTTGTCTGCCTTATGAATCAGATCTGTGGCTCTCTATAGGTAAATAATCTGTCCAGTTTCTTCACTATAATGTCTCTTTCTGCTGTCAGCCCTAAAGGATGTGATATAGGCAAAGGTATCTGATATAGGCAAAGAAGGTACAGACCATATCTACTAAATACAGAAGAATTGTGAAGGAATTGCTTTTCTTTCTGAACCGACTGGTGCACTCTGCAGATGACATGAATTGTCTGGCACAAGAAGGAAAAGGACCACAGAAAGGTAAACGCAGCTAACTGGTAGAAAGAAATTGCTAAAAAATAGGGCAGGGAAGGGAGAAATTCCAATTAATTTTCCGGGTAATACACTAATTGTAAAGGGACTGTTGTCCCCTTACTGAAACTCAGTGGGGGGGTGATAAATGGGGAGGGGGGGAGCTCCCGTTTGTGGACACCCAGCCAGCCAGTTAGCTATAGAATCCCTCTTGGTAGTTGTTCTCTACTTGCTTTACCTGTGAAGGGTTAACAAGTTCACAGGTAAAAGGAAAGGAGTGGGCACCTGACCAAAAGAGCCAATGGGGGAGCTAGAACTTTTTAAAATTGAAACAAGACTCTCCTTTTGTTGTCTATTGTTGTTCTCCAGAGAGAGAGGACAGAGCAGAGACAGGGCTGAGACTATGTTGTAAAAAGCTTTTTGTCAGGTATGGAAATCATCAGATTATACCTAAAACTCCTCATTTGAAACCCCAGATATGTAAATAGATCAGAAAATGTCTAGAAAGATGTCATTATCTCTGTTTATTTCTTATTGGCTTGTGGACTCCTCTGTGCTAACCCCAAATGCTTCTATTTTGCCTGTAACCTTTAAGCTGGACCTCAAGAAGGTTATTCTTGATGTTTTGTTTTTGTAAGTGGGTTTTTAAATCTAGCAAAAGCCGAAGTTCCAGATGTATTTTCTTTCTTTTTGTTTTTAATAAAATTTACCTTTTTAAAGAACTGGATTTGGAGTGTTGTGTTCTAAGAGGTTCGTGTCTGTGCTGTTTGATTAGTTGGTGACAACAGCTAATTTCCTTTGTTTTCTTCTCAGCTCTTCCCCGGAGAGGGGTAAAAGGGCTTGAGGGTACCCCACAGGAAGGAATTCCCAAGTGCTCCTTCCTGGGTTCTCAAAAGGGGAGGAGGGTTGCATTTGGGTGGTGGCAGCATCTACCCGTCCAATGTCAGAGAGAAGCTGTAACCTTGGGAGTTTAATACAAGCCTGGAGTGGCCAGTATTAATTTTTAGAATCCTTGCGGGCCCCCACCTTCTGCACTCGAAGTGCCAGAGTGGGGAATCAGCCTTGATGGGGGGAGGAGGGGGTTGGTTGCTAGCTCTCAGTACCAAAAGGGTCGATGGGAAATCCGCACCCTGAGACTGACAGTCCCCAGGAACAATGGGGAGAAGTCAGCCTGACTGACAGGGCGGGCAGGCTAATGAGGGAGCCAGGAGGCCAGGGGCAGGGGTCCTCTCCTCCCAGAGTGGGGCCGAGCTAAGGAGAGAGCAGGGGCCCAAGTTGAGCTGCGGAGCAGAGCCGTGCCAGCCAGAGAGAACCAGAGAAGCAGCCCAGGGAGCAGGTCAGTGCTGGGAGCAGAGTCACGGAAGCAGCCCGGAGAGCAGACCTGTGCTGGGAGCAGAGCTGCAGCAACCAGAGCCAGAGGGGCCAGAGACGCAGCCCAGGGAGCTGGAGGCAGAGCAGCAGCAGCGCTGAGGCAGAGTCAGGGTGGAGCTGGAGCAGTCCAGAGCTGGGTGCAGCGACCGGCTGGGGAAAGCGAGGGGGACCCTGGGCAGCAGGCCCAGCGCAGAGGCCTTGCAGACTTGGGGGGGATCGTAACCCTGACAGGGCAGGGGCTGACACTGGATGGAAGGGTCCTGCCACCTAGACCCTGAGGGCGTGTGGCCACCACCAGAGCGAGTGTCCGACCCACAGCCTCCCTGCAGCACAGCCAGGGCCTGGGCAGGGGCCTGGGACGTGTGAGGAACAGACTGTGAACTGCCCTGACATTCCAGAGACGCTGGTTGTGACGTCCCCATGCCACAGAGCAGGGTGATGGGCTTTCCTTTAACCTTTCCCAGTTTTTCCTTATTTTTTTTTAATTGATTGCTGTTTAATAAATTGTATTTGCTTAAACTGTGTGTAATGGTCAGTGGGTCAGGGAAGCGTCCAGAGTGGAAAGAGCACCTTGGAGTGGGGACACCCGAGCCCCTGCCCTAAGTGACCAGAACAAGGTTGGGGGTCGAGCCCCCCAGGAATCCTGGGCCCAGCCTTGTGGGGGTTACGAGGACTCTGCCACACAGGAGGGGGGAAGGGGAGCCCTCGAGGTCAGGCAGGCCTCTGGGTAAAGGGAGTGGGAGCGAGGACTCAGATCCTTTCGCCAGCCCATTTCACCGGGGTCGTGTATAAGCCAGGGAGGTTCCCCACAATAGCGAGATCATCCCCTGCTCACATAATACAACCCTTGAGAATGAAACATAAAAAGCCTCCCATAACAAAAGGATCAAAGGAGTCTGCTATACACCTGCGCCATCTACTGGATATCAACAGAAGGTAGTAGAAAAACGGGAGAGATTAGTGACTTGTATCGTTCCTGTATATAGCTGCTGGGCCCCGACCCCGACACTGGCCTGTGTTCATCGCTTACTAGAGTGCACGTATAGTTTACACATGGTACAGGCTTCAAATATTTGATGTACATCAACTTGATCTATAAACCTACTGATTACAGACCCAAGTGATTCTTGTTGAATTAAAAACCCTATTGATTGGGCTAAGAGCAACCAAGTGTCCTGATTTGAAAAGTACTGTCAAAAATAGCCCAGAAAGGAACCTAACATGAAAATTAGCAAATGAGTGCTCCCTGAACTCAGTAAAAGTATAGTGCTGGGCAATGTTGCCTAGTGGGTAAAGCAATGGACTGTGACTTGGGAGACATGGGCCATTGGCTTGCTGGGTGACTGTGAGACTGTGAGTCCCCCATTGATAAAATAAGTATGATGATCCTGTGTCCTCTGTAAAGTGCTCTGAGACCTGCCAATGGAAGAGCTACTGTAGCTGTTCCTATTATTATGAAAAGTGGTTATCCCCGTTCAATCCCATCCCCGTATTGGCCATAGCGTACATCAAATTAGTAAATAGAGTTTGTTAAATTGCAGCTTGAAAATCTAACAGGCACCTTGGCAAATTAATTGACGCCCATTGACACTTATACTCTCCCACGGCTGGCCTGGCCCTGTAGGGATAACCAGAGTAAAAAGAACAACAAACACTTATCTTAGGGCTTGTTTACAAACAAACCGGCTCCAGAATAACTCAGAGTAACTCACAGCGTTTGTTCTTTTGGGGCAATTGTGCATGTGGCCATTCTTAGTTCAGCTGAAGAGTGTCTTACTTTGATTTAGTTTGTCAGTGGAAAAAAACCAAAAGATTTTAAATCTTATTTGCCCCCACTGACAAAACTAAATCCAAATAAGACACACACAGGTTGATCTAAGAGTGCGCACAGACAGAATCACACGAATATACAAAGGGGTGAATTACACCCCATTTCGTTATTTCCAGGCCAGTTTGCATGTAGACCCGCCCTCAGTCACTAAAGCCAGCGGATTGGACTCCAATATACTTGAGGAGCAGGTCCGGGAGTAAGAAGAGGCCATTTTTATAGAGAGTCACTTTTCAGAGTACTGTACAAATCCATTTGGAAATGCTGCTCTGCGGGCACATTTAGCTAAAAGGGTCGCTGGCCACTGTGTATAATGGTATTCTCAGGGTAGCTACAGGTACAACGTATTTTGCTACTTGTCTTTGTCTTGCATGATCTTGATCACAGATTTCAGCAGCAACTCACCTGCTCTCTAGGTGAGCGAAGTCCAACAGGTTGAACTCTCGGCAGTCCTGGCTGTGGTAGATATTGTCCACATCCTAACAGACAGACAGGTCAGCACGTTAGCCCAGAGAAGTGCTGCAAGGCCGGATTACAGCACAGCACCGTGCTGATCAGGACACATGCTGAGCGTCAGCTTTGAATGGTCTGCCAGGGGACAAGACCATCCACTGACCCTCCTGAGGGGGGAAGCAGCCAGCAGTGAGAAGTTACAGCAGAGGAAGGGAAACCCACCCCTGATACACCCACTATTCCCGCCCACCCCCCTCCAACATAAAAAAGTCACAGATCAGCCACTTGCAGTCTGAAGGATGCACCTGCCACAGACCAACTGTGTCGAGCTGGCCAATGGGAGGGCATCTGACCTCTGCGAGGCTGGGCCCCTCTCTTTGTGGGCACCTGAGATCTCTGGGAGAAGATCTGGCAGCTGAGGGAGACCCGGGACAGGCCCTGATGTCAGGGCGTGAAGCTGTGTGGCCTTGGCCACAAAGAGGGAAGGCCTCAGACACTCGTCAAGGCCCGCCCGAGGCTTAGCCTGTGCCGTAAGCCTCCTGGGCTGGGGCAAGGGAAGGGCAGGAGTATGCCCAGTGACTGGGGGATTCATTTTAGGGACACGGCCTTGCCAAGGACTGGGCCCAGCCTTGTCCCCGCAGGGCATCGCTGCTCTGAAAGCTGCCTGGACTGGCTGGACGGAGGAGGAGGAGGACATGTCTCTGAAGAAGTTCCTAAAAAAGAGAGGCTGAAGCACAAGCCTGAGGACTCGTCACTGCTGCCTGCTGGCCTGGGATGGCTCCTCCACACTTCAACCGATCTCACAGCACTGGGACACTTTCCCCTCATAGTCAGCCTCAGTTTCCCTTTGTTCAATTTCACCCCAAAGGCTTGCAGCTGGCAACCTCTCCCCCGTTAGTCAGCATGTCATGAAATACACGCCTGTGGTGGAGTTCATTTAATCTCTCATCAAATCAACCCCTTCATCTGTCCTCTCATTTCGCGGAGCATCAGCTTGCCACTAGCTGGATGGCCCAAAGGAGCCTGAAAACAGACACAGCAAGCAAGGGGCAGCCTTCCCAGGACTGTACGGAAGAGGGCTGCCATCTCCCTCCCAGATGGAGAGCACGCAGCCCTGAACGCCATGCCACCGTTCTTTTAAAGCTGGGTCTAACCTGATTCTTCCTGATCACGCCTAGCTCTCTTTCCATGGACCGCCCTGCCCACGAGGATCTGTTCCATGTAATTCTCCCCCAGAACTATTATGATGCATACAGCCAGGAGGGACCATTAGATCATCTACTTGGACCGCCTGTGTAACACCCAGCTACCCCAGTATTGAGTCCTTGTGTTGGACTAAAGCACCTCTTCCAGAGAGGCGGCCAGCCTGGAACTGAAGACATCAAGACATGGAGAGTTCACCATATCCCTGGATAGTTTGTTCAACGATTAAAAATCTCTCTTGGTTTCAATCTCAATTGCCTATTTTCTTCCTGGATTTCGGAGCCCTTTGTATTATTGCTCTTTCCACATTGCTGTTTGCAACATCTTGAGTGGTAGGAAGGTACCGTGCTTCCAGACAGTTAATGAAGATGCTAAAAAGACGACCTCCCGTGGATCTCGGCACCATGTCATTAGGTACCTCCTCCCAGCTCCTTACACTGAATTTACTGCTCTTCAGCCAGTTCCCAGTCCCCTGGACAGAGCTCACCTCACTTCAGAGGAAGTTACAGTATGTTCAGGAGGTTTCCTGAGATCCTCTCAAGTGCTGCTATACAGCATTTTCCTCTGCTTGGCTCCCTTTGCCCAGCTGTATCTCTCCAGTGCAAACAGTGGGATGTAATTTCCAATGCTGATTATTGAGTGACTGGTATTGCTGCTGAGATTTCCTTGACAACCACGCAAGCACACTCCATTACAAGCAAAGTAGGCAACATTTGCCTAAATTAAACAAAAACGGAACCCTCCCCCGCCAAAGGATGGCTTATAACCAACTGGAGAGACAGCAGGTACTGTTTCAGATAGGTACAAAACCCAGCTGATAACTCCCCTAATGTTATGTCCTTAAAATGACCTGTTGAAATTGCTTCCATACAAGCTTACCCACTGGATCTCCTCTCTGAAGGTGAAGCCGTTGTAGTCACATAAAGCAGCATATGTCTCTGAAAACCCACCTACAAATGGAAGATGATATTGACAGAAACGTTAGCAGCAGCACATGGAGGAAATGTAGAAAGAGAAAAAGGGACATTTGGGGAAGGATAGAAACTAATACAGTTTGGGATCCAGAAAAGAGAGGGCTAGAATGAAAAGTCCAATTAAACCCTCACTTCTCCCAGCGCAGTGCTGAATCATGGATTGGGTGCCTCTCTGTTTGGTACTGACTGACTCATTAATTACTTATCTTGAGTTCTTTCTTTCATTGAGTTATCTAACCTCTTTTACTGGACCAAGACATTATTTGTAATACACAAACTTCTCAGGCTAAAAGATCCTTTATTTAAATCAGAATGTTTTGATCACAGAATTCCATTTAAAAGTTTTTCTTATTGAAATTATAGAAAAAATATTGCAATATATATACAAAAAGATTGCAAAGCTAAGCCCGGAAAAGTTAGGAACTGCATGGGCAACCTTAATGATGCCCCCTTGTGTGTAATCATGGTATAACCTTTAATTACACAGTCACATACTGTTTTTTCCACAGGAACCCTGCTTCAGACATGCAACTGACTTCAATGGGACTACTCATGGGAATCCAATACATATGGAAGTGTTTGTAGGACTGGTGCCAATGTCATGTAAATATTTTTCCCAGCTTATGACAATGGCCAGAGTGACTCCGAGTGGTCAGACTCCTGCCATGGTATGCACTGTGCCTAACGTGCAAATGGCTGCGGGCACCAGTGTTCGCTGCCACTTATTTTCTTCCTGATGAAAGTTAATTGCTAAACAGCAAAGGTGGATTTTTCCAAAAGCACTTCACATTGCCCTAGCCCTGCTTCCATTGAAGTCACCCGAGCTTTTGAAAACTCCACCCCAAGCTGCTAAGTCTCCCACCACTTGGTGTGTGAGGGCTCTTCACAGTGTTTTCGCTTTTCTGTGATGTATGTTCACAAAGCAAAGTCTGATTACCACACGGTCCTTGGTTATTCTGCAGCATTTCCTTCAGGGAGTCTGTTATTCTTTGAATTCTCTCGAACAAACTGGGGGGATAGTTTTTGAGCAGTTTTCTACGAAAAATAACCCATGGTTAAGTAAAGAAATGGGGTGGTAGGAAGAAAACATCCTCAATCCTACATATTGGCTTATATTGACTGGAAACAGGCGAGCTCACTCTATTAGGAACACTTCATATGAATTTACTTTGTAACCATCCATACCCTTTATGTGTTCTTTCTTATAATCCCTAGCTCTTATCTAGCACTTTTCCATTAGCAGATTGCAAAGCACTTTACAAGGGAGAGCCGTATCATTATCCCCATTTTACAGTTGGGGAAACTGAGGCACAGAGTGGTGAAGTGAGTTGCCCAAGGTCAACCAACAGGCCAGTGGGGGAGCCAGGAATAGAACCCAGTCCAGAGCTCCAGCCACTAGCCCAACTGCCTTTGTATTAAAGGGACATTGTAACACACATACATTTGGCCCCAAATTTAAATTCTGTACAGTAACTCCTCACTTAAAGTCGTCCCGGTTAATGATGTTTCATTGCTGATCAATTAGGGAACATGCTCATTTAAAGTTGCGCAATGCTCCCTTAGAACGTTGTTTGGCAGCCTTGTCCACTGCTTGCAGGAAGAGCAGCCCATTGCAGCTAGCTGGTGGGGGCTTGGAACCAGGGTGGACCGGCAGCCCCCCGCTCCCCTAAGTTCCCTGTGCGGCAGCTGCCCAGCAGGCTATCAATTGCCGGCAGTTCAGCTGTCCCTCCCCCCACTGCCGTGTGCTGCTCCTGCCCTCTGCCGTGTGCTGCTCCCAGAAACATCCTGCTTGCTGTGCGGGGGGGGGGGAAGAGGGGTGCTAATGTCAGGGTGCCCCATCCCCCCACTCCTGCCTCCCACTCCTGTACCTCATCTCCACAGAGCAGGGGGGGAACAGGACAGGGCTCAGGATGGAGGGAGCTTGCTGGAGGCAGCTGCTGTCTCAACTTGCTGATCTACTTAAAAGGGCAGTGTACTTACAGTGCGGTCAGCGTACTTAAAGGGGCAATGCACATCTCTCTCTCTCTCTCTCTCTCACACACACACACACACACACGGTGTATGTCTCTGTCTTTCTCAGCCATGCTGTCTCCCCTCCCTCCATTCGTGCTGCCTTGTAGAGTGTGAGGCTACATGCACAACAATGTGTTAACCCTTGAGGGCTCAGCCGAGTGCTAGTTCATCATTTAGCAGTAAGGCATTCCCTGGGAAATATCCCACCCTCTTCCACCTCTGACTCCACCACCTCAACCAAGCTTCACAATCATCATTGCTGTGTACAGCATTAAATTGTTTGTTTAAAACTTATACTGTGTATCTGTGTATATACAAATATAGTCTTTTGTCTAGCGAAAAAAAATTCCCTGGAACCTAACCCTCCCTATTTACATTAATCCTTATGGGGAAATTGGATTCGCTTAACATCGTTTCGTTTAAAGTCGCATTTTTCAGGAACGTTAAGCGAGGAGTTACTGTACACGCAAAATGACAAGGATATAAGGTCAGGGAGCTCTAGGAGGTCTCGACAGAGCTCTGCCAGCGACAAGGCAGTCTGGCCCGTTATAACCATTAAGCAAACGTTTCAGGAACAGCCTTACCCGGGGAAAGAGTCTGGAAAGACTTTCTTAAGCGACATGATGATATGGCTGACCACCTGCTCCAAGTCATCCAGTGACACGAGCTGGAAGGCGTAAGAGGCTGTATCTGTATCTATGACAACCTGAGGAGATGAGACAAATGACATTTGAGGCAGCAAACAGAGAATACATTTAATAAAACCCCTCAGATGCTACCACAAAGGGAGCAAACGAGCAAAGCCGTGCGCTAAGATGGCAAGCTCTCGCCACGCTAAATATCCTTAGCATTATTGCTTATAATTCTCAGACAAAGACTAAGTTTCAATAGAGCTAAGCTTGAGAAAAACGTATCAGCAATTTGGCATAGAATATACCTCTACCCTGATATAACGCTGTCCTCGGGAGCCAAAAAATCTTACCGTGTTATAGGTGAAACCGCGTTATATTAAACTTGATTTGATCCACCGGAGTGTGCACACACACACACACCCCCGGAGTGCTGCTTTACCACATTATATCTGAATTCGTGTTATATCGGGTCGCGTTATATCGGGGTAGAGGTGTATGTTACAGGTACTGTACGTGCGCCAAAACCAAAGTATTATAAACCCAGGAAATCCAAAGTTAAGGCTAAACTTAAAAGAAATGCAAACCAGATAAGGGATGGAAATGTGCAATTGTGGCACCCAAACAACCTTAACTCTGCCCTGCCGTGACACCTTACAATAACTATTGGTTTGTGGTTCCAGATAAAATTGATTTTAAGACACATCTGATTTGATTTTCCCTCTCTTGGCATCACTACCTGCAGTCAGTGTTAGCCTGTTACCAAGAGCATTCGGGTTAAAGAAAAAGGTCAGGTACAGGGTGCCACATTTATGAAAGGATCCATTTTAGATTACATTTTAACTCCTGACCTAATTAATGGATTCACTAAATTCTGAGAAAATTAATTCCATTCTCAACGAGCCAGTGCTGTAATTTTGACAAGGATTTTTCATACATAACAAACTGGCTGAATCCTGGCTTTCAGTGGAGAACTCAACTCAGTCTCCATAATAAACTTTCAGAAATAAACTAGTAGCCGTATCGTCAGGAAATAAACAACTAAATCATCCTTATGCTACAGCAGTCTGGCAAATTTCTCATGAAAACATACAAATCCAGGCATAAAAATCTTCTCATTCTGCCCCCATCCCTTGCCACGATAATAAAGAAAACAATTAATCATGCTTTATTGGCCCATCAAAATAACTCACTGGCCCCGCAGGGCAGGAGGATTTTACAAGACTGCACTAAATCAAATAAATTCACCTCTTGCTGCTCTCTGCAGCTCCAGCCCCTCACCCACAGGAGCAAACCCCCAAGGCAGGGGAAGTGCCTGGAGAATCCCCTGGAAAATTTAACCCCAGGAAGCCAGGAGCAAATTGCCCAAGCCAGACTTCCCGTAGCGAATCTGTTTCAGATGATTATTAGCTACGTGAAAAATAAAGGAATACTTTGCATTTAATCTGGAAAAGCACAATTCTCCTAGGCCAGCCTTGCCAAAGTCTAGCTGCTCTGAGGACACACATTTCTGACAGACGACTACAATATTTGTTCTTCACATGTCATCACGGCAAGCATGACGAGTATTTTACGCCTGGCAAATTCTCACGATAGCTTTGTAAGACAAATCAATTGCTATTTCTCTGGGGGGGTCACTAGGGGCAATAGGCCAATAGCAGAGGGTGCAGAGCCTTTGAACTCTGAGATTGCACCTGAATTTTGTCCAGTAAATTCTTCGTTTTCTAAAGCCCGACAGGACCATTAGATCAACTAGTTTGACCCCTTGTGTTACAGGCCCCAAAATGTCACCCATTTACTCCTGACCGAGTCCAATAACTCGTGTTTGACTAACGTACCTCTTCTAGTTCTAATATACATTTCCAGTCCACCCAAGTCCGTCCTTCTTTTACTCCTGTTACCGTCCTTTGCAAATCCTCTCTAGCAATGTCTTTGTTAATAATAAGTGTGATACTTGTAATAGACTTTCCATTTCCCACTCCACAAACAAGGTTCTAGTGAAACACATAACCTGATTGCTGAAGGGACTGCCTGCGTAACTCCCAACAAACAGCAGCAACTTCTAAACTATGGTTATCCACAGCCACAGCCAGGGCCATCCCTAGCCATTTGGGTGCCCTAGGCAGCCCCCCCACGGGGGGCTGTGTGGGGCCCCAGGCCCCCCCCCCCAGTCTGGGAGGCAGGAGCTAAGGGGGGGTGACTTTTGGGGGCCCCACAGGCCCAAAGTGGCCCAGAGGATTAGCAGGGGGCCGGGAGCAGCCCGCTCCACTTCCCTCGCCCTGGCCCCAGCCGTGTCACTCGGGGGAGGGGGCTTGGGGGAAGGGATCCCCCCTGCACTCACCGGCAGCGGTGGGAAGTGGAGCAGCCCGGCCCCAGCCCGCTCTACTCCACCAGCTCCCAGCCGCGACACTCCGCTTCCCGCCACCGGTGAGAGCCGGGGCGGTCCTTTCCCCAACCCAAGCGACATAGCTGGGGCCGGGGCAAGGGAAGCGGAGCAGGCTGGGGCTGTGTCGCTCCGCTTCCTGCCGCCAGTGAGTACGGGGGGCGATCCTTTCCACGCACTCACCGGCGGCGGGAAGCGGAGCGCCACGGCTGGGAGGTGGCGGAGTAGAGCGGGCTGGGGCCGCGTGGCTCCGCTTCCCGCCACTGCCGGTAAGTGCGGGGTCGCTGGGGGAAGAGGTGGAATGGGGGCAGGCCAGGGGCGGAGCAGGGGGGAAGGGTCAGAGGCAGGGTGGAGGGAGTTGTCCGGGGCCCCACGCCCCCCTAGGGGCAGCCCTGCCCCTTGCAAGGGGGGCCGGTCGAGGGATAGGACTGGTCACAGGGGCTGGGGCTGCCGCGTATGCAGCACGCAGCTGCCTAGGACACCATGAAATTTGGGGCAATTTGGTGCCCCAATTTTCATGGTCCCCTACGCAGCTGCATATGCTGTGTATGCCTAGGGATGGCCCTGGCCACAGCAACATCTACATCAATTATACAAATAGCAAACTGTGCTGGCTAACAGCAGCTGCAGTCTGATGAGGGCTTCATTCAAAGTATTCAGAATGGTGTTTTCTTATGTTGCCTGTTTTACAGGTCAGGCAACGTTCAGGTTTGCCAGATACATAATCTCCTCTGTAAGAGGTTTTACCAGGTTTTAACACACCCTCCAGCTACATGTGTATTGGCCTGGGTAATCTAGACGCACTTGATACACACCAAGGCCCTGAAATGCAGAAGAGGCTGTGGACACGAGAAAAGATAATGACGTTGTGAACTCTCTTATTTTCCTGCCAAACATTTTACACTGCCATGACCTGCAACATGCACAAACCCCTTTTGTTCTACAGAAGTCAGAGGTACAAATGGAGCTGCAGCTTTTCCAGTCCCACTGGAAAGTAGCGTCACTCGAGGCAAACAAAGCCAGCCCTCTCCCTCGCAGGTCTGTTTGGAGAGATTCTAGATTTAGTTGGGCTGTACCCCGGCTCCTAGAGGCAACGGTACTGGGAAATATAAGGACAGCATTTCAGTAAGGGGCTTCGTTTGCCAGCCAATAAATAGGAATGAACATTTAGCCTAGATCTTAGAGCTCAGTAAATGTCACCACAACAGAGTCACAGAGAGGCAGGAGACTACCCACGGCGTCACAGTTGGCAAGAGACCCCAAGCCCACCCCAGCACTGCTGTCTCTGTGTTCTGCATTTGTCCAGCACCTGGCACCATGGGGTCCTGCCTCCCCAGCACTGAAGGCAGGCTAGGCTTCCAAGGGCTGCTCGTGGGCAGGGACTGGCTCCTTTTGCAGCAATGGGGAGAACGCTCTATCAGGATGGATGTTTGCACCTTCCCATCCCTGGCTCTAGGGCACTACTCAACTCACAGCGCCCTGGGACTGCAGGGGAGGGGCTGGCCTGTGCAGATTCAGCTCCCTCCCGTGGGGAGGGCACCAAGCCAGCTCCAGAGCTCCCCCTCTGCAGCAGCACCTCCCACCTGCCCAGGCTTGGGGCTTCCCCAGGAGGTCCCTGCCAGGCCAGGGTCTCTGGGGATGTCCCCATAAGAATGGATGGGGGCGGTTCCAACAGGATTGGGTGCAGGAGAGTATCCTGGGGCTGTCCCGATGGGGGTGGGTGTCCCAATAGGGTGGATGGGGGAGGGCTGTCCTGACAGAGGGGTGGATGGGCTGTCACTGGGGGTCCTGAGCGGTGGCTCCCTGGCTGCACTCACCAGGCTGGGCTCCTGGATCGTGATCTCTCTCACCTCCAGGAAGCTGAAGCTGCTCCACACCTGAGGAAAAAAGGGTCAGACCATGGCCAGCCCCGTGCCCAGCCCCAACATGGGCTGTGACCCCCACGGGCCGCCGGGGGCCAAGTGTGGCACAGCACCCCTGCTGCCCGACCTGCCGGAGCCCAGCCCAGGCCTGCCCCGGCCAGCAGCAGGACATGAGCTACCCAGGCTGAGCTGTCCTCCCCCGCAGCCCTAAATCCATCCCAGCACCAGCCCGCTTCCCCGATTGGACCCCCACACACCCTGACTCCCAACCCCAGCCTGACCCCCCTCCCAGCCCAAGCCTCCCAGTCACCTCAAACTGAACATCTAAGTCCCAGCCTGCGCTCCCCTCCCCCAGACAGCACGGAGCCAGTCTCTCATGCAGAGGCACCCACCAATCCAGCTGCAGCTGATGGGCATGGTGGGTGCACCACACCCCTGGGTGTTAGTGTCCATGCCCCACCTTCCCTCTGAGACACCCCAACAATGCTGAGCCCCTTCTGCCCCCCCCCCCCCCCCCCCCCCCCCCCCCCCCGGCCTTTGTGCCCCATCACAGCGAGAGGGCCAGAGACGATGGAAAGGGGCCTCCGGAGCACACGCCAGCCAGGAGCGGCTCTCCGCCCTCACCCACACTTTGACAGCGTTGCCCGTCACTGGCCAGTGAGCTGACCAGGGTGGTTCACACCGCTCAGAGCTATCGCGCAGGCTGCAGCCATTTGCTTTCCATTGTGCTCCCTGCTCCGCTTCCTCTGCGGGGGAAGGCGATGGAGATTTCAGTGGGAGTGTGGGAAATCGGAAAGTTTAAAAAAGAAACTCGAGACAAACCCTTCTTCAGCCCCTCCCCGCACACAACGCTCCCCGGGCCTCTGTGTGTGCGTTGTGCTCCAGGCACCTGGCCCCAGCTCCCGTCCATGTGGACACGGGGTCGTGTTTGCACGCCCCATGCACATACGAGTTTACCCTGAGTGCTCACAGATGCACCACCTGGCCAGGGCCCCCTTGTTTATACCCAGCTGCAGCTCCGCAGGCACTTCCTCCTTGGGCTATTTCGCTTGACAGACAGTTAACTTTGCCGAGTTGCTCACTGCCTGACTGTTAGCATTTGTCAGGCTGACAAGGAGAGTGACCACCTCCATGTGAGGCTTAGAGCAGCTTCCCCTGCTGCCCCGCTCCTCCCTTTTAGCTGGAAGGATGCTGGGGGCTCAATGGAGCTTTCACTGGGAAACACTTATTGTGCTAGTGCGGCTGAAAGGGCGAGGCCGGGGTCTAAATCCTTGGACTTTCCTACTGGGAACTTGCCCTCGGGACTGACGCAGCAGAGCTCAGGAATGCCAGGCAAGTCCTGGAGCAGTCAGCTCTACGCAAAGTACTGGGATCTGCAAGGGGCTGGAGTTTATGGGAGGGACGAGGGGGGATGCTGGTTCTGGGAAGGGGCGAGGGATGAAGGGTGTTCCCGGGGGGCCAGGAGCAGGCTTCAGTGTGGGTTTGGCCCAGCTGAGCAACGAGGGTGACATTTTTCCAGCCCACAATGCATTGCAAGATCAGAGATGTCACCCGTGCTCCTGGGCAAGGCTCAGCCCTTGGGGGCTTTTATGAGAAGCCTGCCTGGCTACACAGGTAACGGGCTTGTGTGAAGCTCCCAGTGACTTCAACAGGCCCAGGCCAAAGCCCTTTGACACAATAACTCTTGCTACCAGCTTCCCGTGACCACTCACAACGTCTCTAGTGGGGTCTCACGGGGCTGGTCTGGGGGCTGGTACTCGTCAGTATTTTCATTAATGACTTGGATAGCAGAGTGGAGAATAAGCTTTTCACATGAGCAGATGACACCAAGCTGGGAGGGGTTACACGCACTCTGGAGGACAGGATTCGAATTCAAAATGACCTTGACAAGCTGGAGAATTGGTGTGAAATCAGTAAGATGAAATGCAAGACAGACAAGGGCAAATCAAAGGCACAACTACAAACTGGGGGGGCCGTACTGCAGAAGGATCTGGGGGTTCTAGTGGCCTACAAATGGAATATGAGCCAGCAGTGCACTGCAGCTGTGAAAGAGGCAAATGTCATGCTGGGGTGTATTAACAGCAGTGTTGTACGAGATACGGGAGGTAACTGTCCCGCGCTACGCGGCGCTGGTGAGGTCCAGCTGGAGTCCTGTGTCCAGTTCTGGGCACCCCACCTTAGAACGATGTGGACAAATTGGAGAGTCCAGAAGAGAGCAACAAAAATGACCCCCCAAAAATAGAAAACCTGACCTGTGAGGAAAGGTTAAAAAAACAGGGCATGTTTAGTTCTGGGAAGAGACAACTGAGGCCCGGGGATCTGAGAACAGTCATCAGCTATGTTCAGGGCTGTTATAAAGAGCCTGGTGATCAACTGTTCTCTGTGGCCACTGACAAGATGCAGTAGGCTTAATCTGCAGCAAGGGAGATATAGATCAGATATTAGGAAAAACTGTGCAAGTCTAAAGGTAGTTTAGCTCTGGAACAGGCTTCCAAGGAAGGTTGTGAAATCTCCGTCACTAGATGGTTTTGAGAACAGGCTGGACAAACCCCTATCAGGGCTGGGCTGGTCTAGGTTTCACTTCCAGCCCCACATTTCTGACACTCTGTAATGGGGCTGTTAATGCCTGTGCCTTTGAAGGGTGACAGCAAATTCACATTGGCACCCGTTCGCTCTCATCCACTGCTAGAGGGTGAGAGGCTCTGGCACTCTAGCCACAAGGAGACAGAGCAACAAGGGGGAGCGGCGATCCCCAACACAGGCCCAGGATTGGAACCCAAGGCTGGCAGCATGGACAGGAGCTAAATAAGAACACTCGCTAGTTGGCCTAGGGACCGGGGACTGTCTCCCTAGGGATCATACATCCGTAGGATGGGAAAGGCCTCCAGCGCCCTGCCATCACAGGCGACATAACCCTGTTTAGCTTATAACGGGCTTTTCTATCTAGCAGAGACAGGTCTCATAGGAGCCACGGGATGGAAGCCAGACAAATTCAGACTGTAAGGAAGGTGTAAATGCATAACAGGAAGGGTAATTAACCATGGCGACAACTCTTCAAGGGCCATGGCGGACCAAGATGGGATGTTTCTCTGAAAGCTCTGCGCTGGGGATTATTGTGGGCAGGTCTCTGGCCTGGGCTGTCCAGCAGGTCAGACCAGATGATCACAGTGGTCCCTTCTGGCCTTGGACTCTGCTCAGCCCAGAGAAGGGATGTGTGCCACCCTGAGCAAGGGCTACAAGGGCCAGGGAAGAGCCTGCGATGGAGGAGAGAAAATGCCGGAGGGGAAAGGAGCGAAGAGGAGAGTCCAAAGAGTCCTGCCGAAGGCCCAGGGGGCAGGTGGACAACACAAAGAGGGGAGTGGGTGGGGAGAGGAAACAGCAAGTTAAGCTACAGCAAGTTTGCGTAATATACCTGCGGTGCTACTGACCCTCCCACCCTCCCCAGCACCAGTGGCAAGAGCCCTGCCTAACGCGCCAGAGCAGGGCTCCACGTGGCCATTCAGCCGGGCGCTGGGAGGGGCGAGGGACTCAGCACAGGGACCTGGGTCCGAGACAGAAAGGGTTCTGCAGGGAATTGCTAGGAACAGCCCAGCTGAGACCAAGGCTGATGTTGTGTTACTCCTAACAAAGCTCAGCCCCGGGGGAGGGAGTTTGGACTAGACACTGACTGCATGTTCCAGGTGCCTTCTCACCACACTCGGCCTGTGGGATTGAATGCTGGCTGGGCTGTAGCTTGGAAAATCAGTACCTGGGCAGTTTCCTAGCTTTGGAAGAGGTTACCTGTCTTCCCCCCTCCCCCCATGGCCCCACCCTCCCCCACACTAGAGATCTCCTTCCATCCATTTTGCTTTTAAAGGTCGTATGCCAGGTACATGAAAAGCTTAATGCCCCTGGGAAAAGTGCAGCTCACATCAGCCCCCAAACTTGGGTCCCGCACGGAGAAGGCACTTACCCTGCCCGGGAGCAGCACCTGCAGCACATACGCCCTCCAGGGGGTTAAAACCTGCACAGGGGGGAATCAGAGTCACGGCTGTGATTATCGAGAGGGTAAGTGCTGTGCATTTATACAGCCTACGAACACTGGAGCAGGAGTTCAGGGCGCATAAGTGTTTCCATTCTAACCCCCTGCTTGGACATTTTTACCTTAGAGGGTAAAATTTACGAGTGGTACATGACATCAGAACAAATCTGTGGGCACGTAATTAACCTGCAGAGCTGCCACCCATCTGCGCGTCCAGCACATGTCAGAGACCCAAGCCTGGGAATTCTAGGCTCAGACCCAGAACAATGGGATGAAATTCCTGAGTTACCAGAACGTACCAAGATGTCGTCTTCAGACTTGGATTTGACCTGCAGCTGGACAGGCTTCACCAGGATGATTTCCTTTGACCCCAGCAAGGCGGTGATGCTGTCTGAAAAGACAACACCCAATCAAACAAGCTGGCAGAGATGGGGAGGCTGATCAGTGGCCCATGTGAAAGAAATTGGGGTCTCCCCAAAGCACCCTGTGAGATGCCGTCCACATCGCAGCCAGCACCAGCTAACCCCTGCTTTTCATTCTCGGCAGTCTGGCCAGCAGCTGAATTCCCCATGCCCCACTACCGGTGGCTCATGAAGGGGGAAACAGGAGGATAACACCTGGGGTGCTGGTAAGAGAGACTGGAGTGAGATTTTCAAAGCAGTCTAGGGGACTTAGACACACTGATTTTAATGGATCTCAATCCCCTAAACCATTGTATCAATCTCAACCCTTTCTTCATGTCCTGCTGCCAGTCACATGGCATGGAAATACATTAATTCCCTTGTCACATGGCAGCGGCTGGTATCCATTGATAGCAGTGACTGTGGTTACATCTTACCCTCCAAAGCCAAAAATAACCACCACAAATGTGTGCAGCCTGCTGATGATACACCAGTGGAGATGTCCAGAATAGGGTCTGGGGAGATGGTCTGACCCAGGACACACGAGAAGATCATTCTGCCTCTTCTTGGACATCTATTAATAGCCTTCCAGCACTGACCCTCGAGGATTTCTGATCACACGCCCACTTCTTGTTTTCAAACGCGTGGAGATCTCAGGACTTGTCTACACAGGACATTAGCGTATGGCAAGCCCTGGTGAAGATCTACAGAGCAATAGCTTGTCATGGAGTAACGTCCCACATGGCCATTGCTGTGTGTCCACATGCACTACAGAACAGTTAGTGCATTGTAACAGTGTCCACACAGCAAGCTGCTGCTCTGTAGTCACTCCCTGGCTTGCCAGGAGCTAACGCCCTGCGTAGACAGCCCCTCAGGCTCACTCTTCATCTCAGACTCTTGCCATAAATGTGCCTCTGTGAGGATTTTTCTTTCACTCCCAAAAGCTTTTCCCTTGCTGGTCACCCTAGTGCCATTTTGGATAGTGTCATTGTAACACGGCAGGGATGCATTTGCTTAGATATGTTGCCTGAGGACCCCTGACTCTCCTGGGGTCTTTGAGGCCTCCTTGTCTGGGGGCTATTTGTGAAATTGCTTCCACCTTTCTTGTATCCAGTCAAACTCCTTCACCCCTGTATGTCCTTTGTAAGGAATCTTGCTCAGACCAACCTGGAGTTTGCTCCCGTCCAGTGTGAAGCCCTTTTCTTTGTCACTGCAGATCACTACACAATCTCTCATTGTGATGCCTGATCATTTTTGCCCCAAATTGCTAAATCCTTAACAATTAGACCCAAAGGGAGGTCACTACATCTACCGGAAGAGACATTGGAGGTGCAGAGTTTTGAGCTGTCCGTCTGGTCAGACCTTGGCTTACATCACAAACAGAAAATGTTCTTGCGTAGACACATCTTCCTGAACCGATTGGCTGCGCTCACATGAAACTCGATTGATCACCGTGACCCTGCTATTACCATAGTGTCTGAATTAGCTTCTCCCCAGACGTGGGGGTCTGGGGAGAAGAGATCTCACCTCTCTGAGACCCTGGGCTTCTCTGGATCCTCCTTCCAGCCTTCCCCACTCTCTCTTAACTGTCCTCAGCTGACGAGCTGAATCACCTTGCTAATTGTTTGATCATCCAGTCCTGGACTAGCCCACACGGGGATGCTTGCAAAGTGGGAGGGATAGCTCAACGGTTTGAGCATTGGCCTGCTAAACCCAGGATTGTGAGTTCAATCCTTGAGGGGGCCATTTTGGGAATGGGGTAAAAATCTGTCTGGGGATTGGTCCTGCTTTGAGCAGGGGTTGGACTAGATGACCTCCTGAGGTCCCTTCCAACCCTGACATTCTATGATTCTATGCACAGATTGCTTACTCAGCCTGAGCTTGTCATACACCACAAATAAGACAGCTGGTTGACAGGCCAGAGTTACACGATGTAGCTGGTTTACAGGTCTGTAATTTAACTGTCAACAAACAGTGTGCAGTCCTCTTCTCCCGCTCCCACCAGAAGGCAGTGTAGCTCGCCAAGGCCTGTCACATGGAGCGGTGGAGAGGGATTTCATCCTGGCTGATTTCTCTTCGCCAGGAAAATTTGGAAGGGCTGCAGCTATGACAGCCGCCATCTTGGCCAACACCAGAGATTGAACCAGGAGCCTCCACCCACATCCACGGGCTGAGCTAGAGAGCCAGGCTCCCCACCTGGGGGCTGCACAGACACATCCTCCGTGGACCCAGCCCAGAGGGGGACCCATTGCACCCCTGCCTCCAGTGGCAGGAGCAGACATCAGACCTGGCTCTGTTCACAAAGTGTTTTGTTCTGGTCTGGCTGGCTGGTTTTAGGTACGTGGCTTGGTGGCTGTGGGGGATGTGGAGTTCAAGCTCCTTGCTTCTGGGGGAGAACATGTCTCTGCTGGTCTGAGCTATGGCTCCTACGGCTACTGCAGTGGCATGAATGTCTGCGACCTTGGCCTTTGTCTGTGCAACTCCGAAACCCCTTGTGTGTGTGTGGGGGGGGTGCTTTGTAGCTTCTGTTATCCGAGCACATTGTACAGAGCCCTCCTGCCAGGGGCTCTGTGTGTGCCCTCCTTTCCCCCTCCCCCATACCACGCTGCCCTATTCTCCCCCTATATCCCCTCCACCACATGCCCTCTATGCCCCGGGGCTGGGTGTGTCCCCATTCCACCTTTCCCCCATGCCAGGGGCTGTGTCCCCCAAGGCCTGTCCCCCATTCTCCCCCCTGCATACAAAGGGCTCTGTGTGTCTCCCCAATCCCCCTTCCCCACAGCTCAGGGTTCTGTCACCCTCCTCACCATTCAGAATTCTTTTCTGTCTGCCAGGGAGATTAGAGTGTCAGTCTTTTTAAGGTGAACAGGAGCTGGGAGTCTGTAACTTACCAGGAAGGTGCTAATGGCTGCCATCAACTAACCCTTTGATCTGCACCCAATTACCCAGGGGGCAGCAGCAGCAGGGTCTGCTACCTAGTGAGGAGGGCTTTAAACTAGGTTCACCGGGGGAAGGAGACCAAAGCCCTGAGGTAAGTGGGGAAATGGGATCTTGGGAGGAAGCACAAGCAGGAGAGCGCAAGAGGGGAGGACTCCTGTCTCATACTGAGAAAGAGGGACGATCCATGAGTTATCTTAAGTGCCTATACACAAATGCAAGAAGCCTGGGAAACAAGCAGGGAGAACTGGAAGTCCTGGCACAGTCAGGGAACTATGATGCGATTGGAATAACAGAGACTTGGTGGGATAACTCACATGACTGGAGTACTGTCATGGATGGATATAAACTGTTCAGGAAGGACAGGCAGGGTAGAAAAGGTGGGGGAGTTGCTTTGTATGTAAGAGAGCAGTATGACTGCTCAGAGCTCCGGTATGAAACTGCAGAAAAACCTGAGTGTCTCTGGATAAAGTTGAGAAGTGTGAGCAACAAGGGTGATGTCGTGGTTGGAGTCTGCTATAGACCACCAGACCAGGGGATGAGGTGGACGAGGCTTTCTTCCGGCAACTAGCACAAGTTACTAGATCGCAGGCCCTGGTTCTCATGGGAGACTTTAATCACCCTGATATCTGCTGGGAGAGCAATACAGCGGTGCACAGACAATCCAGGAAGTTTTTGGAAAGTGTAGGGGACAATTTCCTGGTGCAAGTGCTGGAGGAACCAACTAGGGGCAGAGCTTTTCTTGACCTGCTGCTCACAAGGGAAGAATGAGTAGGGGAAGCAAAAGTGGATGGGAACCTGGGAGGCAGTGACCATGAGATGGTCGAGTTCAGGATCCTGACACAAGGAAGAAAGGAGAGCAGCAGAATACGGACCCTGGACTTCAGAAAAGCAGACTTTGACTCCCTCAGGGAACAGATGGGCAGGATCCCCTGGGAGAATAACATGAAGGGCAAAGGAGTCCAGGAGAGCTGGCTGTATTTTAAAGAATCCTTATTGCGGTTGCAGGAACAAATCATCCCGATGTGTAGAAAGAATAGTAAATATGGCAGGCGACCAGCTTGGCTAAACAGTAAAATTCTTGCTGATCTTAAACGCAAAAAAGAAGCTTACAAGAAGTGGAAGATTGGACAAATGACCAGGGAGGAGTATAAAAATATTGCTCAGGCATGCAGGAGTGAAATCAGGAAGGCCAAATCACACTTGGAGTTGCAGCTAGCAAGGGATGTTAAGAGTAACAAGAAGGGTTTCTACAGGTATGTTAGCAACAAGAAGGTGGTCAGGGAAAGTGTGGGCCCCTTACTGAATGAGGGAGGCAACCTAGTGACAGAGGATGTGGAAAAAGCTAATGTACTCAATGCTTTTTTTGCCTCTGTCTTCACAAACAAGGTCAGCTCCCAGACTGCTGGACTGGGCAGCACAGCATGGGGAGCAGGTGACCAGCCCTCCGTGGAGAAAGAAGTGGTTCGGGATTATTTAGAAAAACTGAATGAGCACAAATCCATGGGGCCGGATGCGCTGCATCCGAGGGTGCTAAAGGAGTTGGCAGATGTGATTGCGGAGCCATTGGCCATCATCTTTGAAAGCTCATGGCGATCGGGGGAGGTCCCGGATGACTGGAAAAAGGCTAATGTAGTGCCCATCTTTAAAAAAGGGAAGAAGGAGGATCCGGGGAACTACAGGCCAGTCAGCCTCACCTCAGTCCCTGGAAAAATCATGGAGCAGGTCCTCAAGGAATCAATTATGAAGCACTTAGAGGAGAGGCAAGTGATCAGGACAGTCAGCATGGATTCACCAAGGGGAAGTCATGCCTGACTAACCTAATTGCCTTCTATGAGGAGATAACTGGCTCTGTGGATGAGGGGAAAGCAGTGGATGTGTTATTCCTTGACTTTAGCAAAGCTTTTGATACGGTCTCCCACAGTATTCTTGCCGCCAAGTTAAAGAAGTATGGGCTGGATGAATGGACTGTAAGGTGGATAGATAGCTGGCTAGATCGTCGGGCTCAACGGGTAGTGATCAATGGCTCCATGTCTAGTTGGCAGCCAGTTTCAAGCAGAGTGCCCCAAGGGTCGGTCCTGGGGCCGGTTTTGTTTAATATCTTCATTAATGATCTGGAGGATGGTGTGGACTGCACTCTCAGCAAGTTTGCAGATGACACTAAACTGGGAGGCGTGATAGATACGCTGGAGGGTAGGAATCAGATACAGAGGGACCTAGACAAATTAGAGGATTGGTCTAAAAGAAACCTGATGAGGTTCAACAAGGACAAGTGCAGAGTCCTGCACTTAGGAC